CTCCTCCTCCTCCTCCTCCTCCTCCTCCTCCTCATCTGACAGAAAGATGGGCCTGTTTTCCACCACCACCACCATGAGTTGGAGGGGGAGGGGTCCTCCTCCTCCTCCTCCTCCTCCTCCTCCTCCTCATCTGACAGAAAGATGGGCCTGTTTTCCACCACCACCACCATGAGTTGGAGGGGGAGGGGTCCTCCTCCTCCTCCTCCTCCTCCTCCTCCTCCTCCACCTCCTCGTCCCCCACCTCCTCCCCCCTTCCAACATCGTGGTGGTGGTCGCAAAGCGGCCCATCGCAAACGGCGGCCCCGCCCAGATCGTGGATCCAGCGTGGGCCCGACGCCGCCGCACCTAGCTGGCGGCCGCGTGCGACCGCTCCGCGGGCGGCGCGGCGGGAGCGCCACGGATCGCTCTGGAGCGATGCGTAGTAGGAGGAGCGAGGAGGGAGGAGGAGGGAGGAGGAGGAGGAAGAGGAGGAGGAGGACTGGAGGACCGGAGGATTGGAGGAGGAGGAGGAGGAGGAGGAGGAGGAGGAGGAGGAGGAGGAGCTCCCAGGAGAGCGCCACGCGCGCCCCCCGCGCGCCCCTCGCCCGCCCAGCCGGGCCCCAGCACGTGCCGCCCGCCGCCTCCCCGCGCCGCCCCCGCAGGCTGCGGCTGCAACGCCGCCTTCTACCTGACCTCCATGCAGCAGAACACCCAGCCGTCGGAGTTTTGGGGTGGCCCAGAAGCTTGGCATCGCTCGGACGTGTGCATGTTTCCTTCGGCGAGGACCATCGAGGAGCATCCTTGATCATTTCGCGAAGAAGCCACGCACAAAACCGAGAAAAAACACAGGAAATGGACGTCCGAGCGATGGCCAGGAAGGGGGTCCAGCTGGAAGGGGGCGGCGCCATAGCTTTGGGGCAATGGTGTTGCCAATGCACTGCGCTGGAGCATGTTGTATCGCACTGTACTGCAAGTGGCGTATTGCGCGCGGAAAGCCAGCAATGCATTTGCGCCCCGACAGGTATTGCACGCCCCAAATGCATTCCAACCCCGCAAACCTGTTGCACCAAATCCGTTGCACCACCACCTTGCCGCTGGACCTCCTTGGGGGGTCCACCCGAGGAGTGCTCCGACTACTACTGCGACGCCAACAACGTGTGCGGCGAGTCCTGCGCGGAGATCGACATCATGGCGGGCGCCCCGCCCTGCCCTGACCTTCCAGGAGGGCTACAAAATAACACCCGACGTAAAAACCTGTCCCAAGGCCATTCTGCGTCTTGATTTCAGGCTGTTTCGCTGAGTTTTTTAGGCGTTTAGGCTTCCAGTGCTAAAGAAATAGCTCTCTGGAAGGTCAGGGTGCCCCCCCCCTCCTCCTCCTCCTCCTCCTCCTCCTCCTCCTCCTCCTCCTCCTCCTCCTCCTCCTCCTCCTCCCCCTCCTCCTCCTCCTCCTCCTCCTCCTCCTCCTCCTCCTCCTCCTCCTCCCCTCCGCCCCTCCGCCAGCGCGGGCCCCGGCCGGGCCCGGAGGGCGGGCGCGCGCGAGCTGCAGGGCCGCCGCGGGCTCTCGCAGCTCCTCCGCGGGCCTGCGCCCCACCAGTCGAGGAAGACGCAGCGCCATCAGCTCGGCATCGCTCGGACGTGTGCAGTCCTCCTCCCCTCCTCCCCCCCCTCCTCTTCCTCCTCCTCCTCCTCTTCCTCCTCCTCCTCCTCCTCCTCCTCCTCCTCCTCCTCCTCCTCCGTGTTCCTTCGGCGAGGACCATCGAGGAGCATCCTTGATCATTTGGCGAAGAAGCCACGCGCGAAGCCGAGCAAGAACACAGGGGATGGACGTCCGAGCGATGGCCAGGTAAACATGAGCTTTTCGCGCTCCGCGCGGATTTCTTGGATCCGCGCTGGGCCCCCCCAGACGGCGCCTCCGGCGCCGCCCCTGGCGCGCTCCGCGCGCCAGGAAGGAGCGCCCGGCGCGGATCCACGAAGCCCGCGCGGAGCGCGACCAGTTTATGTTTATGACGTTTTTCTTCCTCTGTCCAGGTCGCCGTTTGCTCTGGCCCTCCTGCTCCAGCTCTCTCTCTCTCTGTCCCTGTCGCCCCCGCCCCGCCCTGACTCGCTCTCACTCTCTCTCTCTCTCTCGCTCCCTCTCGTGCCCAGAGCATCGTCTGGACGCGAAGGCGGCCGATGGTTGCCACTTCGCGCTGCTTGCCTCCAGGGTGCCCTGGGTTTCTTGTGTTTCGATGGTTTGCTCAGTATCGATTAACCGACCCCCATCCCCATCCCCATCCCCTTCCAGACCCCCACTAAGTTACCCCCCAGTTGGGGATGCACCCCTCGAAACCCGAAGGGAACGGCCTATATCCCCTTCTAGGGGGATAAATCGGCCAGCGGGGCCCAGGCCACGCCGCTGGGGATGGGGATCGGCTGCATGAGATTCATCTGCGATGGAAAGCGTGACCCGTCCCGCACCAAAAAGTCAATGCACGTCCTGGGGTCTCAGGGTTGGGTTTCTTGTGGAAGGGTTCTTGTGGACTGGCCTCCACTATGGCCAGGGGGTAACCACACCTTCGGGCCAGACATTGCAGAGGCCGACGCTGGTGCACACTGGTCGCACACCTTCAGTGCACTTGTGCTGCACTTCTAGAGTGGGGGCCCAAGCCAAGAGACGTTTCGATGGTTTTGCAATGGGAAGTGTGACGTTCCCACATCAATCGACGGGCGTCCTGGGGTCTCAGAGTTGGGTTTCCTGTGGAAGGTTTCTTGTGGTCGAGCCCCCCCTGTATACTTGCTTAGTGCTTATGTGTGTACAATGAATATCAAAGACGCCTACGGCGAATCACCGCCGCCCCAGGCCTTGTAGGATATGCCTATGAGGCCAAATGTTTGGGCACAGTTCGGCCACGCTATTGGACCATGCGTTCCCCCAGCCGTTGTGGAAGCCCTTCGAGGAACACGTGGGGGAGGAAGGGGAGGATGAGGAGAGGGTGTTTGAGTGCTTTTGAATGCTGTGGGGACCTGGGCCCTGTTGGGGGCTTTTGAGTGCTTCTTGAGGCGCTGCAGGGTCGTCTTGAAGGCCATCATGGGCGTCTTGGATGCCTCTTGGGCCGTCTTGGGGCCCTTGGGGGCCGTCTTGGGAGCTGCTTGGGCCGTCCTGGATCCACCTTGGAAGCCTGTTGGGCGATCTTGGGGCAATATTGAGAGCCTCTTGGGCCGTCTTGGGCCATTGGAAGTCCGTTTTGAAACCAATGCCAACATCATTCAAACACCCATGGGAAATCAATGGTGCCTCTTGGGGCATTCCTGGAGAACCCCTTGGAGGCCTCTCGGGCCGTCTTAGGGGCCTGTTTGGCGCTTCGTGGGCCATCTTGGGCTCTGTTGTGCCATCTTGGGCAGTCTTGGGGGGGCATCTTGGGACCGTCTTGGAGGCCATCTTGGGGCTGTCTTGGGCTCTCTTGCGGCCATCTTGCCCAACTTAGAGGCATCTTGGAGGCCATTCTGGGCCAGCTTAGCCGTGTTGAAGGCGATTTGGTTACCGAGGGGTTGGTTTCCCTGGGCTTTCCAGGTGGCTGGTGGGCTGGGCCGACGCCCCAGGGGGGAGTTCGTCAGAACAGAACTAAGCAACCCTCAGGGAATCTAGCACGCCGTGCACCCTTGTGGTAAGATCACAGGAGGCGGCGGATCGAAGACGCCTCCTGCGAATCACCGCCGTCGCCCCCTGCCTTTTTGAAACGCGTCTCTGTGGCCAAACGTTTGGGTCCAGAGTTTGAACAAGCTATTGGACCATGCGTTCCCCGAGCCGCTGTGGAAACTTTTCGGGGAACTGAGGAGAGGATGGACAAAAGGAGGAGGAGGAGGAGAAGGAGAAGGATGAGGAGATCTTTTGGGAGCCTCTTGCGGCTCTTGCGTCATTCCTGGGGCCTCCTGGAAGCTCCCTGGGGGCCTCCTGGGGAACTCTTAGGGCCTGCTCGGGCCACTTGAGAGCCTTTGGTAATTTCTTAGGCTTCCTTTGGCCGTCTTAAGGCGTTCCTGGCCCGTCTGACGCCGTCTGAAGCCACTTTGGGGGCCTCTTGGAGGCCTCTTGAGCGCAAGGCGTTGGACGACCGCACCCCGATGAGAGCCCGCGTCGTCCTCGCTATTTCCGTAGCCGTCGCTGCGGTCCCCGTGCTGCGGTCGATGGGGGCCCTGGCCGGAGAGCACAGCTTGCTTGCCTCCAGGGTGCCCTGGGTCTCCTGGGTCTCGATGTTTCTACGGTGGAAAATGCGCGACGCTCCCGCACCAAAGATCAAGGGACGTCCTGGGGTTTCAGGTTTGGGTTTCTTGTGAAAGGTTTCTCGCGGATCGCCCCCACTGTAATCCGGCTTCCTCCCACTCAATCCGGCCTGCTCCCGCCCAGCTCGCGGCCCGATCCGGCGCAACCCCTCCCCCAATGGGGCTCATCCCTTCTCATCCTTCTGGCGAAGACCTCCCGGCAGTTGCCTCCTCACACCTGGGGCCAGGGGCAGCCGCGGGCGTTGTTGGCGGCGAGCAGGAAGGGGGGTAGGGGGAGGGGCCCAGACCCCCGACGTAATGATTTTTTCATTACGTCGACCCCCAGAGGTCCCGACCCCTTCCCCAGGACCGGTTTGTCATCCTGAGTCGTTTTTTGACGCGCCCGAGACCCGGTGAGGGCCCCCAGAGGCCGAAAATGGCGAAAAACCTCCCGTCGTGATTTTTTCATTACTCGAGGGGGTCTGGGGGGGGAGGCTTCTTAGAAGGAGGCTGCCTCTCAGAAGGCGCCGGCCTTTCATCTGCAGAGACGGCCCGCACCTTCTAAGAAGCAGGGGTTCTTCCTCCTCCTCCTCCTCCTCCTCCTCCTCCTCCCTCCTCCTCCTCCTCCTCCTCCTCCTCCTCCTCCTCCTCCTCCCTCCTCCTCCCTCCTCCTCCTCCTCCTCATCCCCCTCCTCCTCCTCCTCCTCCTCCTCCTCCTCCTCCTCTTTGCGCGTGGCCGACTCTTGGGGCCACCTCGGGCCACTGGGCAAAAAGGGGGTCGGCTTTCATGAAGTTCCCCCCGTCGGAGCCCTATAAGCGTCGCCTCTTGGGGACATCGGGGTGCTCCCTTGAGATTGAAAGGGGTTGGGAGGCCCAACCGGCAGCTCCGCCTGAGGCGAAGCCCCCCTCCCCCCACCCGAACGAAGGATCAGGCGAAGCCCCCCTCCCCCCACCCGGTTTTTTTGCAATCCGTCGTCCAAGAAAACAAAGCATAAACGAAGGATTGCAATCCTTCGTTTTTTTGCAATCCTTCGTTGCAATCCTTCGTTTTTTTGCAATCCTTCGTTTTTGTTGCACTCCTCCGTTTTTTTGCAATCCTTCGTTCTGCGCGCCGCCAACGCTGGCAGCGAGGCAGATATGGGCAGGCAGGGCGGCGCCGGGCAGCGCTTCCCGGGCCGGGGGGGCGGCAGGGGGGCAGCCGCAGGGGCAGAGCGCCGGGGCTGCGCGGCTGGGGACCGTCGGGGCGCGGCTCGTGAAGGAGATTGCCATTGACCTCGGCATCGCTCGGACGTGTGCATTCTTCCTTCGGCGAGGACCATCGAGGAGCACCCTTGACCATTTGGCGAAAAAACCACGCACGAAACCGAATAAAAGCACAGGGAATGGACGTCCGAGCGATGGCGAGTGACGGTGTCCATCTTTCCCAGACCCCACGCGTTGTGAAAAAATCACGGCGGGAGGTTTCTCGCTATGTTCGGCCTCGGAAGGGCCCTCGCCGAGCCTCGGGACCGTCAAAAAAAACGACTCGGGTCGAAGAGACGGTCTCGGGAAGGGAGTCCGGACCTCTGGGGGTCGACGTTGTGAAAAAATCTCGTTGGGACGGTGCCCATTCTTTCTGCATTCCGTCGTATTCGCCTGGGCTTGATTCCAGGCGCTCTCGCGACGTCGCCTGGTTCTGCTCCGCGCAGGGTCTGGCGCGTCCTGGAGCGCTCCCCCCCCTGTCGGCGGCTCGTGAGGATCGGGCCGGACGAAAGGGGGGGGGATTGGGAAAGGGGGGGTTACGAAATTTGCTGCATGCAGCTGATTTCGGCCTCACCGAGGGGCCCACTCCTCGATACATGGTCGCCTCCGGCGCCGGGAGGCGCCGGGAAGATCAGCTGCGTGAGCTGATTCTCAAACCCCCCCTTTGCTATCCCCCCCTTTCGCCCGACCCGAGAGGCCTGCTCTGCAGGCCG